ATTATAAAGAAAATGTTCTTAAGAACACCATTGAAGTAAGTTATGTATGCATTTCACTTATTTGTAATTTCAATTATACTCAAACTATGGTTAAGTTTAATTATTTAATAATTTGAAGGCTAAGTTTGAAGTTCACTCTCAAGCTCATGTACAATATGTCTTCAAATCACTTAACACAAAATGGAGTGACCATAGGCAACAATTATGGAACCAAAGGAATGATGGAACACGTACTAGAGATGAATTGATTGCAATGGTTCCAACAGGAATAAATACAGATCATTGGGCTTCTTATGTTGACTATCGTCTAACTTCAAAAATGAAGGTACTATAAACAATTTTTTTTTTATCCTTACTATTTATGCACATGGACTTGTTAATTTTTTTTATCATGAATAGGAAATTTCCCAAAAAAATAAGGATAATAGAAAGAGGCAAGCATTTCCTCACACTGGTGGATCCAAGAGCATTGCAAGAAAGAGACATGAGATGGTAACTTAAAACTTTTAATAATAAAATTATACTTTTTCTTCTAGTGTATATAAAAATATAATTTTGTTACATTTTATAGGAACAAGAGTGTGGTCGTAAAGTTAGTAGAGGAGAAGTATGGATAACAACACATAAACATGCTAATGGAGAATTTGTAAATGATGAAGCAAGAGAAATTAGTGTAAGTGTATTTTGGGTAAATATTATAATGCTCAAACAAGTATATGTCAACTTATATGGTTACTTATATTATAGGAAAAAATTAAAGCATATGAATCAGATGCACCATCATTTTCACAAGACATATCAACTCAAGATTCTCTAGCACATGCTCTAGGAAGTCAAGAACATTGTGGACGTGTTCGAGGGATGGGATTGGGACCTTGCCCATCTCGCTTGTTTGGATACACTAGGCATTCTCATAGTGGGATGGCTTCATCTTCTTCTTATAGACAATTGCAAAATGAGGTTAGTATCTGTTTCTTTTTCTTTCATTGCTATTAATTTTTTGGGACTGAATTAATTCCTTATGAATGGGACATAATTGGTGGTGTTATTCCTAATGCATTGTAATTTTTTTTTATTTGGTTTGACTAAGTCAATTAATTTTTTTAAAACAGGTCACTGCCTTGAAATCACAATTGGATGAACAAAATAAAAAATTTGAGACAATGTTTAACTTTTTTGCGCAAAATTATCAAGGTCAATTGCCCCCCAATATGGCAATGTTTCATCCTTCACCGGTAATTTTTAAAAGTGAAATAACTTTTTTAATATATTTCATATAATTTTCTAAGTTTTAAATTATGATTTACATTTATATTTCAGGTTTCTGATCAAGGAAGCGTACCAACTAATGAAACAAATTCTCAACATGGAGATGAACATATTTGATAGTTGATGATGAGCATACTAATTTGCAGATGATTTTCTTTTATTTTTGGAAATTTGATAGAACATATTGTACTAGTTTGTTTTGAGGAACATATTGTAAGTTTTTATATTTACTATTTTGTAGGATTAATCACACAATACAAGTTTCATACATTGTGCTTGTTTTGTATGTACTTTGTGTTTTGTAGTGAACTAATATAAATTTGTGTTACTTTTATATTTTATATTTTGCATCTTTATTACTTGATTTATTTTATATAATTATATAAAAAAAGGTTATTATGTAATACTTATCTTGTATAATATTATATGTGCAAGTATAAGAAAATATTCTTTTAAAAATATGTATTATCGAAAAGTATAAGCTAGGAAAAATTTAAATTGTATTAATAGGGGTTGTATAACTCCCAACACATTCCTGGGGTTATAACCCCTGCTAACTTACAGGGGTTACACATGTTATTTAATGAGGGTTATAAACACACATTACTTAACAGAGGTTCGTAATCCTGGTTAATTACTAAGGGTTAAAAATCGCAATTATATAGTTGGAGTTACAAACCCTTGTTACTTCTTGGGGTTTCGAAACCGCAACTACATAGTCAGGGCTACAAACCTTTGTTAATTACTGGGGTTAAAAACCTCAACTAATTAGTTGGGGTTTAAAACCGCCAGGAAATTTGCAATTTCCAGGGGTTTCTAAAAACCGCCGTTAAGATGTTCCTAGGGGTTAAAAACCTCAACTAATTAGTTGGGGTTTAAAACCGCCAAGAAATTTGCAATTTCCAGGGGTTTCTAAAAACCGTCGTTAAGACGTTCCCTACGGATGATTTACCGGGGGTTTGTGCAACCCCTGGAAATGTGTTTAGCGGGGGTTATAACCCCGGTTAAATTCAAAATTAACCCCCATTAAATCCTATTTTTTTTGTAGTGACGGGACAAATGTCCAAGGCAATGCAAGAAAGGTAAAATGTAACTATTGCTCAAAGATTGTGAGTGGACAAATTGCTAGATTCAAGCATCATCTTCCTAAGAGTAGAGAAGATTCAGAACCTTGTGCTACGGTGCTTGAAGAAATTACATTGTTAATGGTAAAAATTATTGTCGAAACTAAAGAGGCATCATTGAAGAGAAAAAAGATTGAATAGTATTGTTTAAGAAGTTGGTGAAGAAAGGTAGGGGGAAGAGGTGAAGACAAATTATCAAAGGATGTTGGTCCCAAAGAAAAAGGAAAAGGAAAAGTTTCTACTACTAGTAGGAGAGCTCAAACAATTATAAATCAAATGATGAAAAAAGGATGTAAAAAGGAAGTTGATATTCAAGTTGCTGAATTTTCTATAATATAAGTATTTTATTAATAATTTTAAAAAATTTCTTTTTATTAATAAGAGCTGCTAAATATTTGTTTAATTATTTGATATATTTTAAAATATAATATAAGGTGTATTATTATTGGTTTTATTTAATTGAATTAAAAGGGAAGAGAATTAGTAACTAAGGTTAAGTATTTTAACTAGAGAGTTAGAGAGAGGTTAAGGTACCTTTTGTACTCTAGTTATATATAAAGGTGATTCCATGTTTTTGTGTGCAAAATATTTTTGACAATTTTAACATGAAAATAATTTTTTTAAGATAATAATTAATAAAGGTCATACTTTTTTTTTATTCTTAAAAAAACTGTTTCTAATACTTACTATGTCACTAAAGTTTGTATTCAAGCAGAGATACGAAGTGCTTTTATTTCCACTAATACTTACTACTAATAAAGTGATATCCTTTTTAGTCTATGCAATTTACTGGACAATTTTGTCCTCATAACTTTGGCATTATATCTTATATTTACCCTTTTATAACTACCTAAAAATCGTTTTTTATTATTAATCACTAATTATTATTCAATTTTAATTAATATTAGTTTTATTTTTTTTTTATTTTTTTTAGAAGTACCCAAAAGCATAAGGTAGCTTTTGTACGCTAGTTTTTACACTGAAAATTATAAAATAGAAGTAAAATATTTTATTAAAAATTAAGAAAGAAATAAATTACATCTAAATGTCATTATCTTCGCAATGAAACTAACAAAATCTAGATAATTAATCTATTAAAAAAATATTATTTAGGTTATATTGTACTTTTAGTCTCTTTATTATATGAAATTCACAATTTTGGTTCCCAATTTTTAATTTTATGATTTTAGTTCATTAATATTATAAAATCTGTAATTTTGGCCCCATTAGTTAAAATTTCATCTTTTAATTGTTAAAATTGTAACATTGATCATGCATGACTTGATATTGGATAGAAGACATGTTAGTTACTATTTAATAATATTTATACTAGATTGTACTTTGAGTTCCTATTTTTTTTATTACACATATTTATCTCATTTTATCACTTTTGAGTTAAAAATAGAATTAAAAGTGAAATTTAGCATAAATATTTTTAAATATTAATTATCATGTCATTTATTTAATGTTAGACCATGATAAATATTAAAAAATTTAACAATCAATGGATGAAAATTCAATTTAAGAATCAAAATTGTAGATTTTATAAAATTAGGAAACTAAATTACAAAATTAAAAATTGGGAGAACAAAACTTTGGATTACATATTATAAGGAGATCCAAACTATAGTTTATTTTATATTGTGCTTGTT